ATCAGCTTGAGTGCGTTAACATTGCAATGGTGGTTTGAAAGTGTTGAACTGATGATCAAAAGGTAAAATATAACAAAGGTAAAATCTCTTCTCGAGTTTAAGAATTCTAAATAATTATCCTAAAATATGCCCACATTGATATAGGAACAAGTTCAAGTTACTCTAAACTTATCTCTACATCTGATAACCAGAAAACAGTCTTTAGTTTAAGGATGTCAAAATTGTAGTAATCTCACATGTCTTTTCTTGATATTGTCTTGAATTCAACTGCCTACCTTGGCAACTTTTCTCTGCTCGGTTTGGCCCGACAAGGGGCACTGCATTTCTGTCCAACTTATCGGAACCATTGTCTCACCTGCACAATCACCAGACAACAGTCATTACTCAAAAGGAAGTACACATTATAACGTATGAATGCCAAAAGAAGCACATGCTTCTGCATACTAACATACTCCAAGAATGATACAGACAATCTTTTTTTTTAAGTATGGCATCAAAAACTGAATAATTGCAGACTCACTCTTGCTAAGACAAGAGAACCAGGCTCCGGAATAAGGCCATGTGCCTTGTGACCAGTAACTTCAACAATGGCTCTCTGCATATAAATGAGATTTTGCACATCCAGATCATTACAATGAAACATAAAAACAGAGGATTTCGAGAGGATTCAGACAGAAGCAATCAAAGGCAGAAAACCTGGTCAAGGGATTGGGGAAGAGGAGGAACAATCCGGTGAGGGAAGCCAAGATGGTGGTGTCATTGACGTAAGCTCCTTTTCCAGCTTTAAGCTCAGTCGCATCTCCGAGTATATCTCCCGGCGTTACTAATAGCTCCGGCGACTCTTTCATTGAACCCTAGGAAATACAAATATTGTATTGTAAATATGATTATAAATACAAATAAAATCCATGATTTAGCAAAACCTCTGTTGTATTGTAGCGCACTCGTTAAAATTGATGTCCTAGTATGAATTTCATGGCTTCGATATGATTTTTGGGTTCGAAGCCCACCAGCTGAATATTATTTTGTTATTTTCTTATCAGTTTTGTTTCTATAATAAGATATACATGTTTTAT